ATACTGTATTTATTTTGTCAATAAGGAAATGATAACATATATTTACATCTGTGAGCCTATGAAATATGAAATAACATGAACTAATAGCAGTTAGTGCAATGATAGTAAGGGAAGTTCTTTAAATAAAAAAAAGTCTTAAAGAGGTCCTGAGAAAACTGGATAGCCACAGATAGAAGACTGAAACAGGACCCACACTTTTCACCTCTCACAAAAATCAACTCACACTGGGCAACAGACTTGAGCCTTAGGTGCGAAACTATTAGAATTCTAGAGGAAAACGTTGGAAATACTCTTCTAGACATTGGCCTAGGCAAAGAATTTATGAAGAAGATCCCAAAGGAAATCACAGCAGCAACAAAAATAAATAAATGGGACCTGATCACATTAAAAAGCTTCTGCACAGCCAAATAAACTGCCAAGAGAGCAAACAGACAACCCACAGAATGGGAGAAAATTTTTGCAAGCTACATATTCGATAAAGGGCTGATAAGTAGAATCTATTTAGAACTCAGGAAAGTCAGCAAGGAAAAATCAAGCAACCCTATCAAAAAGTGGGCAAAGGACATGAAAAGAAAGTTTTCAAAAGAAGACAGAATAATGGCCAACAAACATATGAAAAAATGCTCAACATCACTAATTATCAGGGAAATGCAAATCAAAACTGCAATGAGATATCACTGATCTCCAATAAAAATGGCCTTTATCAAAAAGTCCCCAAACAATAAATGTTGGCATGGATGCCAAGAGACAGGAACACTTCCACACTGGTGGTGGGACTGCAAACTAGTTCAACCTCTGTGGAAATCAATGTGGAGATACCTTAAAACTATACAAGTATATCTACCATTTGATCCAGCAATTCCACTACTGGGCATCTACCTAAAAGATCAAATGACACTCTACAAAAGGGACACATGCACTTGAATGTTTATAGCAGCACAGTTCACAATTGCAAAGTTGTGAAAACAACCCAGGTGCCCATCAATACATGAGTGGATTAATAAAATGTGGTATATGTATACCATGGAATACTATTCAGCTTTAAGAAGCAAATCTCTGTATTTTCCTGGATAGAGCTGGAACCCATACTAGTAAGTGAAGTATCTCAAGAATGGAAAAACAAGTATCATATGTACTCACCAGCAAATTGGTATTAATGGGTCAACACCTCAGTGGACATATAGGAATAACATTTATCGGGTGTCGGTTGGGTGGGTGAAGGGAGGAGGGGATGGGTATATATAAACATAATGAGTGATATGTACCACTTTTGGGGGAGGGTCATGCTTGAAGCTCTGACTCAAGGGGGGAGTAGGAGCATGGGCAATATACATAACCTTAACATTTGCATCCCCATAATATGCTGAAATATACAACAACAACAAAAAGAAAATGTATGCAACAGTGAAAAAGAATTGCATGGAAAACTCAAGACTTCATCTAAAGGAAATTTTTTGAAAATTCTATATAATTGAAGCAGTGCATAAATTTACCTCAAAAAGTAGCAGAACTGAAAAATCAAGATGAATAAAAGAGAATCTTAGCTAATAATCAGACAATTTTTCAGAAGTTTGTATAAGCCTAGCAAACTCCCTTGGCTTAACAGCAATATTTTACTTTCAAATTTTCATTCTTTGGAATCCAAAGATTTGCTAAATTTTAAACTATTTTTACAAGGAATAGAAGAAATATCTGTTGTATGACCATCTTCTAATAAAAGCTAAGTATTATATTATTAACTGCATAATAACTTTTAGAAGAAAATAACTTATATAGTAACTTTTAGAAAAAAAAATTCTGTACTATGCAAGTGTGGAATGGGTAGGCTTAATCCTTAGTGGCAGTATTACACAATGTTTATAAAAGTGATATCTAGAGTTCAACAACACTTGTTTTTCTTTCTAACTCTGCTGCTTACTGACTAGCTCTGTCATATTAAACAAGTTACTTAAACATCATGGCCATCATATTCCTCATCTGTCGAGTAGTAATAATAATTATAAAGATATCACAGAGCTATTGCAATGACTACATGAATTAATATAAGTAAAGCATGGCATATAAATACTCCACTAATATAATTATTAATGATGTACTACTAGCAGTTGAGAAATAGGTCACAATCGGTCCCATTTGGTCATTAAGTCACAACCCAGCCTTTTAGAGTTGTGTTCACAAAAATGATTCTTTTCTTGTTACAGATGAATAGAAGGAACTCTATATGGTTAAACAAAGGCTCATACTGGCTCTAGTATAAAATTTACTTTTTGGCACTAAATGTCAGATATTCTTCATATTTTAGCATTAAGTGAATCCTGTTTGGAAGCTAGCACCTGCTCTTGGAACAGCCACTATTTTATATGTACAAATTAGTGAATGGTAGCATGTCAGAGCTCAGTAGTTAACTAGATACATGTGGGAGTTAGAAATGAAAGAGCAACCTAATGTAGACCAAACCACAGTGAATAAACACATCCTGAGTTACTTCATAACTCATTTGGGGAAATCTAGTGAAGTAAAATTTTAGCCAAAGAACATGTAAACTCAAAAAAGCTGAAACTTATTTCTTGAGTTAACTTTGTAAAGTTCTGAACATATGCAGTCATTCACTTACTTGCTTCATGAAATTTGTAAATAAATGTTTCTGCCTATTTCCTTTACTTATATAGTGGTGCTGGGACAAGAGTGTCAGTGGTGACACAGTGTCCAGCCAAAGGAACTGAGGAAAGACTTCTTTTCTAGTGATTTTGTGGTGGTAGGAATGATATTAGTTTTACTTTTATAAAAATTGAAATTATAAAGGATATTTGGTGAGTATTCATTTGTGCTTTTTTACATTTTAAATAACCTGGTTATTTTTCTTTCTGTATCTTATCAAAGGGAGCTCAATGTAATATTAATAATACTTGAAGCAAGAACTAAAACACACCTCAACTAGAAAATATTAAAATATATTTGTAGTCCTAAAAAGTGTAAATCAAAGCTAAAAATGATTAGTAGCTCAAAAGGTACCGGAAAGGCAATATATATATTGGAAATAATTCACACATGGAACCAACCACATGGCTTTTTGATTTATTTCTACCTTTTATAATGACCAATATAAGAGAGAAATATAATATAGGCACAATGTTGTGGAGGTCTTGATATCAATTCCTGGCTATTGTTTTATGTAATCAAATGTTTGCATCATGTGTCATATTATACAGAGGGAACAAAACATCTGAGAATATTTACAACTATAATACCATGATCTTCCTAGGAAATTTTAATCTCCTCAATCTTTGTATTAATATTTCTAATCTCTTATTAATTTCAGGAAAAAATGGTAAAGACTTTTGTAAGCCTGGCATGAAACAAAAATCTAGAGTTAATAATATTTTTAATGAATTAAATGTGTTCATCTCAATATGGAGAATATTTAAAATCAAATTATAAGTCAAATCATAATACTAAAATTCTCTAGCAAATGTTATAATTTTATAGTCTAGAAAATGAAATAATTGTATAACTAAAAAAGAATATGTTGACAAGAGAACAAATATTAATATATATGATTATTGTTTTTATTTCAGCATATTACAGGGGCACAAAGGTTTAAGTTATATACATTGCCTTTCTCTCACCTGAGTCAGAGCTTTACGTGTGTCCATCCCCCAGATGGTGGGTACCACATCCATTAGGTGTGTATATACCCACTCCCTACTCCCCCCACCCATCTTCCCAACACCCTAGGAATGTTATTACTATATGTGCATTTAAGTGTTGATCAGTTAATACCAATTTGATGGTGAGTACATATGGCACTCGTTTGTACATTCTTAGCATACCTCACTTAGTAAAATGGGCTCCAGCTCTATGCAGGACAATACAAGAGGTGCTAGATCACCATTATTTCTTATGACTGAAAAGAAGTCCATGATATACATACACCACGTTTTATTAATCCATTCGTGAATTAATGAACACTTGGGTTATTTCTATGTCTATGCAATTGTGACTTGTGCTGCTATAAACATTTGAGTGCAAATGTCTTTTTTTAAACAAACCATTTATGTTATATTCATTATATATACATGGCATTTTTAATCAGTTTATAAAAATACATGTAACAATTTTAGTCTATGCTGTATGTTATAATCAGAAACAAAGGACTATACCAGAAGCTGTCATAAACTGAACATCTTATGTTTAAAACTCATTTAAAGAAAATGTAACAGGAATAGTAGTTCCTAAGTGTATTTTGGGTCAGTGGGTCTTTGATCCATGAATTTCCTTTCTCTTGATTTCTCATAATAATACCCAATTCTTTAATAGCCTCTTTTCAATGGGATTATATTGCAGGTCCAATCTAGTTGTCTTTGCTATCTTATATAAGAAGCAATAGAAAAGGCTTTTTATCACCTTCTTAACTACACTTTGAGCAATAGAAAGAACAAGTCAATCTTGTTCTACATATATATCAAGTAGAAAGGCAAGATGTACACTAGCTATTTATCACCCTTGAATTGGTACATTTCCTATATAGGAGTAGCTGAGGTTATTTCTTATCATTTTCTGAACTGGTAACATACTTGATAAAGCACAGATGTCTCTCTCAGGTACTTAGGGAATGTCAGCATTCAATCAGTGCACCATGTCTTAGGACACTGAGGAGACTTGGTAGACTGATAACAACACTTGCCAAAATGTTTGAATGAAGAGTAGGATGTTGATTCAGATCCAATCAAACCCTAGAAGGCTAAATCATAAGCATAACATGAAGAAAACACTAACTGCTCACTCAGTATAAGTCTGGAGGCTCATTTAATGCTGAGGTTTTATATGAGCACATCGTTCTTGCCCCTATGTGATGGTACCTACTCTAGGAGTGAAATTACAGAGAGATTGGTAATCCCCACAGAATAAAAAGTAACAGGAATTTGTTTATCTTAAGACCTAATAGTTCCTGATTCATAACTAATGCCCATAATGATAAAAATTATCTCCTCCTGTTTTAGAGAGGAACCTTAACCCCAAAGCAGTCTGCCTTAAGAGAAGGGAGGAAGAAAAAGTTTCTGCCATATTGGCAGAGCCGCCAACCACACTGCCTGGAACCCATCCCAGGCTTAGTGAAACTACCAAACCTATGGGTCATATGTAAACATCAGCCAGGTAAGTATGAGTTTAAGAAGAAAGTACAAGGAGAATCACTTTAAGATTCATCTTAAACAGTGTTAGAAACTTGAACAGAATTCTCTCGTGGGCATTGGTCATTGTAAAGTTCACGTGTAATTTGGAATCCAACAGTTTGTCATTCTATTGTCTAATCAGACTTAGAGAGCCAGTGTTATTTTATACCATATTACTGTTTTCTTCAAAGTGTGACAGTGTCCTGTGTTTTTGGTTCTTCTGTTCTGAATCATAATGTGTACTCTGTCTATCTTTCACAAAAATATCTCTGAACCAAGAAGAAAATAGTGCAATGACTCATACATCAGTAAATACTTTTGCTACCACTTATGCTCCTCATTCCTCTATTCAGAAATATTTTACCTCAACCAGTTCTCTGCTAACCATTTAGCTCTTTGTCATGAAGACTTTATACATTAAAGGATTATTGCTTAGATCATTTGGATCAATATTGCAAGTTTTTTATATGCAGTCCCAGTAATGGGATTGCTGGATAAAATGGTAGATATACTTGTATCTCTTTGAAGTATCTCCAAATTACTTTCCACAGAGGTTGTATTATTTTGCAGTCCCACCAGAAGTGTATGAATGTTCCTATCTCTTCACATCCACACCAACATTTATTGTATTGGCACTTCTTGATAAAGACCATTCTCACTGGAGATAAGTGATATCTCATTGTGGGTTTTTTTTTTTTTTTTTTTTTTTTTTTTTCTGAGACAGAGTCTCGCTTTCTTGCCTAGGCTAGAGTGAGTGCCGTGGCGTCAGCCTAGCTCACAGCAACCTCAAACTCCTGGGCTCAAGCAATCCTCCTGCCTCAGCCTCCCGAGTAGCTGGGACTACAGGCACGAGCCACCATGCCCGGCTGATTTTTATATTATATATATTAGTTGGCCAATTAATTTCTTTCTATTTTTATGGTAGAGACGGGGTCTCGCTCAGGCTGGTTTTGAACTCCTGACCTTGAGCAATCCTCCCGCCTCGGCCTCCCAGAGTGCTAGGATTACAGGCGTGAGCCACCGCGCCCGGCCACATTGTGGTTTTGATTTGCATTTCCATGATAATTAGAGATGTTGAGCATTTTTTCATATCTTGTTGGTCATTAGTCGGTCTTTTTTTGGAAAGTTTCTATTCATGTCCTTTGCCCTCTTTTTTATAGGGTTGTTTGATTTTATTCTTGCGGATTTTCCTGAGTTCTATATAGATTCTAGTTATCAGCCCTTTATCAGATATGTAAAATGCAAATATTTTCTCCTATTCTATAGGTTGTATGTTTGCTCTTGTGATAGTTTCCTTGGTTGTGCAGAAGGTTTTTAATTTGATCAGGTCTCATTTATTGATTTTTGTTGTCACTGTGATTGTCTTCTTTGGGGTCTTCTTCATAAATTCTTTGTCTAGGCCAATGTCTATAAGAGCATTTCCAACATTTTCTTCTGGAATTCTGATAGATTCATGCCTTAGGTGTAAATCTGTTTCCCACCATGAGCTTATTGTGAGAGGAGAGAGGTGGGTAACTTGTTTCAGTATTGTAGATGTGGGTATCCAATTTTCCCAGCACCATTTATTGAATAAGTATTCTTTTTCCCAGTGAATATTTTTGTCTGCTTTTTCAAAGATTCAATGGCTATATGAGAATGGTATTATATCTGGCTCTGAGTTCTTTTCCATCAGTCTATACCTCTGTTCTTGCACCAGTGCCATGCTGTTGGGGTTATTATTGCCTTTTTAGTATAGGTTGAATTCTGGAAATTGATGCCTCCCAATTTGTTCTTTTTGATTAAGATTGCTTTACAGAGTCTTCTCTGGTTTCATATGAAGCATAGAATTGTTTTTCTAGATCTGTGAAAAATGGTGTTGGCATTTTAATAAGGATTGCATCAAACTTGTAGATCACTTTGAGCAGTATTGGCATTTTAACAATGTTGCACATGCTTAACCATGACCATGGTATGGTTTTCCACCTGTTAATGTCCTCTACTTTTTCCTTCCTCAGTGTTTCATGCTTCTCCCTGTGGCAGTCTTCTATTTCCTTAGTTATTCCTAATTATTTTATTTTTTTTCTTGCTATTGTCAAGCGTATAGACACTTTGATTTAGTGTTCTGTTTGACTATTGTTGGTGTGTAGAAGTGATACTGATTTCTGTACATTGATTTTGTAACTTGAGACTTTGTGAATTTGTTTATCAATTCCAGCAGTTTCATGGGAGAATCTTTGGGGTTTTCTAGATATAAGATTACATGGTCTGCAAAGAGCAATAGCATGTCTTATTCTACCTCCATTTTATTTATTTTTTATTTCAGCATATTATGGGGTTACAAATTTTAAGGTTTCAAATAATACCCTTTCCTCTCCTCCCCCCACAAGTCTGACCTTCCAGTGTGACCATCCCCCAGATAGTACACATCTCATTCATTATGTATATACTCACCCCCTTCCCCCTCCCACCTGCCCAATACCTAATTACTATTGTTCCTATGTGTTCCCCTCCCACCTGCCCTATACCCTATTACTGTAGTACCTATGTGTCCACTTAGGTGCTGCTCAGTTAATACCAGTTTGCTGGTGAGTATATGTGGTGCTTGTTTTTCCATTCTTGGGATACTTCACTTTGTAGTATGGGTTCCAGCTCTAACCAGGAAAATACAAGGTGTGCTGTATCAGTGTTGTTTCTTAGAGCTGAATAGTACTCCATGGTATACATATACCACATTTTGTTAATCCACTCATGAATTGATGGGCACTTGGGTTGTTTCCACAGTTTTGCAATTATGAATTGCGTTGCTATGAACATTCGAGTGCAGGTGTCTTTTTTGTAGAGTGTCATTGGATCTTTTGGGTAGATGCCCAGTAATGGGATTGCTGGATCAAATGGTAGATCCACTTGTATCACTTTAAGGTATATATTGCTTTCAAAAGAGGTTGAACTAGTTTGCAGTCCAACCAGCAGTGTAGGAGTGTTCCTATCTCTTCACATCCATGCCAACATTTATTGTTTGGGGACTTTTTGATAAAGACCATTCTCACTGGAGTTTAGTGATATTTCATTGTAGTTTTGATTTGTATTTCCCTGATGATTAGAGAAGTTGAGCATTTTTCCATATGTTTGTTGGCCATTCTACTGTCTTCTTTTCAAAAATTTCTGTTCATGTCCTTTGCCCACTTCTTGATAGGGTTGTTTGATTTTTTTCTTGTTGTTTTTCATGAGTTCTAAGTATATTCTAGTTATCAGGCCCTGATCAGATGTGTAGGATGTGAACATTTTCTCCCATTCTGTAGGTTGTCTGTTTCCTTTCATAACTATTTCTTTGGTTGTATGGAAGCTTTTTAGTTTGCTCATGTCCAATTTATTTATTTTTGTTGCTGCTGTGATTGCCTTTGGGGTCTTCTTCATAAATTCATTCCCTAGGCCGATGTCTAGGAGAGTGTTTCCAACATTTTCCTCTAGAATTCTAATACTTTCACACCTAAGGTTTAAGTCTGTTATCCAGCATGCGTTGATTTCTGTGAGAGGTGAAAGGTGTGGATCCATCTTCAGCCTTCTACAAGTGGCTATCCAGTTTTCCCAGCACCATTTATTGAAAAGGGATTCTTTTCCCCAGTGTATGTTTTTGTCTGCTTTGTCAAAGATTATATGGCTACATGAGGATGGTTTTATATCAGGGTTCTCAGAAATCAGAGGCATTCATATACACCAACAACCATCAAACTGAGAACCAAGTCAAAGACTCAATTCCCTTCACAATAGCAACAAAGAAAATAAAGTACCTAGGAATATACTTAACCAAGTAGATAAAAGACCTCTACAGAGAGAACTATGAAACACTGACGAAAGAAATAGCAGAGGATGTAAACAGATGGAAATCCATACCATGCTCGTGGGTTGGCAGACTCAACATCATTAAAATGTCTGTACTACCCAAACTGATCTACAGATTCAATGAAATATCTTTTAAAATCCCATCATCATTCTTCACAGATATAGAATAATTTTACGCTTCGTTTGGAACCATAGAAGACCCTGCATATCAAAAGCAATTCTATGTTATAAAAACAAAATGGGGGGGGGAAATGGGCATTTATTGAAACCTTAAAATCTGTACCCCCATAATATGCCAAAATAAAAAAAAAATTAAAAAAAAATGGGAGGTATTAATATGCCATATATCAAACTACTACAAAGCTGTAGTAATTAAATCAATCTGGTATTGGCACAAAAATAGGAATGTTGACCTGTGGAACACATCTGAGAACTTTACCTCCATTTTAATGCCCTTGTTTTCTTTCTCTTGTCCGATTGCTCTGTCTTTGACTTCTAGCATTAGGTCTGGTTCCAGTTGTAAGTGGGAATGATTTCAACATTTCCCCATTCAGTGTTATGTTGGCTGTGGGTTTGTCACTTATGGCTTATATCATTTTCTGGTAAGTCCCACCTATGCCTATTTTGTTAAGTAGTTTTATCATAAAAGTTTGTTGAATTTTTTGATTGTTTTTTGCATCTATTGAAAAAATAATATTGTCTTTTTTGGCTTCTATTTATGTGGTGAATTACATTTATAGATTTCTGTATGTTAAACAACCCCTGCATCTCTGCTATGAAGCCCTCTTGCTTCGTGATGGGTTATTTTTTTGATAAGCATCTGAATTCAGTTTGCTATGATTTTGTTGAGTATTTTTGCGTCTATATTCATAAGGGATATTGGTCTGTAGTTTTCTCTTTTTGTTGTGTTCTTTCATGGTTTTGATATCAGGGTGATGTTGGCTTCATAAAATGTGCTGGGGAGGATTCCTTTCTTCTTGATGTTGTGAAATAATTTCTGCAGGATAGGCACCAGTTCTTCTTTGTAGGTCTGGTGAAATGTGGGTGTGAAATCATCTGGTGTGGGACTTTTCTTTTTAGGAAAGTATTTTATTGTTGCTTCAATTTTGGTAGTTCATAGTGTTATGTTCAGGAATTCTATTTCTTCCTGATTGAGCCTAGGGA